TCAAATAAGCCCTTATTTAGGAAGTTTTGTACGGTCTTTGTCATTTGGGGTGGTTCCTGGTGGAATTTTTTGATGAATTTTTTTGAGCATCTTATTCATCAAGTCTAGTTTGCTCATACCAAATTTCAGCTAAAACTTCAATTGGGAAGACATTCAAATGAATTCTTGAAGATAACTGCGCTTCTAACTGCGCAGTTATTTTCAAGAATTCATTTGAATGTCTTCCCGATTGAAGTTTTAGCTGAAATTTGGTATGAGTAAACTAGACTTAATGAATAAGATGCTCAAAAAAATTCATCAAAAAATTCTACCGTGAATCACTCCAAATGGCGACGGCCGGACAAAGCCTCCTAAATAAGGACTTATTTGACCTTTTTTGGTTAGTACATGGGTCTATTTGCACCTTTTCCCGAATTTTTTTGAGGCTGATATGAGAGTTAAACAATTTTTCACTAATTATTTGCATTTTTAAAATATGAATGAAAAGCCTTTTAAACAATAAAATTAAGTATTTTTTGAATGACACGACAAAGAATTAAAGGATACCTATTAGTCAGGACCTAAAACAAAATGTGGTATATTTGCAGGGACTAAAAACATGTTTAAACCTTTTATAGGTAAAAAAAAAGACACTCAAGTGAGGTTGTTGTCACACGAGATTTAAATTAGGACCAAACTATTTCATACATTCAATCCACAAGAGTTATGAATTGCACAGCTACCCAAAAAAATTAAAAATTGCAGGAGTATCACAGACTTGGAGAGTTAGAGGTATTTAAAAAATCCTAATTACCAATAAAAATTCAATGTTGACCTCCTATAGAAATCACAAGCAACACTTCATATCTTTTGAATCTTTTAAACTAGTTCACAGCTACACTAAAACACGCTCCTGCCTGGGACGAACAAGAGCAAAAGAATATTTTTTCACTTCCTAAGTTCAAGAAGAAAATGAGGAGATGGCTGTCGAATGTAGTTTAGGTGAAATCATGGCAAATGATTCACCATGGTTTCTTGATATAAACCTACTTTACCCTCTAATACTACTAAGGATAAAAAATACCCCCCACAGCCTGGGTGAAGCCAAGGCAGCTGGAAAAACAGACTCTCAGACCATGACAAAATTTACGGCCAGAAATGTGTGGATCCATTTTAATCATTAATCTCAGGCCTAATCTCCTTCACCCAATGACACAAGTGCCCTAGGCACTTGTAGCATAGGATCTCATTCCCAAAACCTCATGCGGATAACTGAAGTTTCAGTGTCACCTCAACAGCATCTGAAAGAACAGCTACAGCATCTACTAGTTCCACTATAGCCGAATGGTCAGCTAGAGAGTCTTGTAGCGGCCAGTCCAAGACTATAACCACCACTATTGAATGCTAATGACATAAACGAAGGGCAGTCGGGTGCACTGCAAATTGGCACCCCGTAAGGCGAGGATCCAAGGACTAGTTCCAGCATAGGTTGTACAGGACTATAGGAGTAAGCCTACCTTTATCCTTTTATAAGGCATGGTCAATGCCTAAACACTTGAATTCATTACCTCTATTGCCACTCACAGGCTATGGCCACCCCTATTGCACTACTGACATCACTGCTAAATACAACTTATAACAGCACTTTTTTGCTATACGAAACACATCTTAATCAACAAATACAAATTGCCGTGTAAAGGTTAGGATCCATTTTACTCACCAATATCAGGCATGATCTCCTTCACGCAATGACACAAGTGCCCTAGGCACCTCGGCCATGTAGCACTGGATCTCATTCCCAAAACCTCATGCAGATAACTAAGGGCCCATTCGGTATTGTGCTGAGTTTTATGTTTTTTGTTTTTAGAAAATGAAAAACTATTTTCATTTTCACTTTTCTAAAAACTATTTTGATAATAAGTCTCGAATCTTCCATTATATGAAAAGAAGCACAAACAAGATTTGAGCATGCGACTAACAACCAGAAGTTCAGAACCAGAGAAACCTAACCATAGTTGAACCACAAATTACAAGCATACATGAAGTATGGGCTCCTTTCCTAACTAAATAAAATCAGATACGAAGCCAACAGCATGAATCTAAACTTGGTTTCCACATACAAAGACTCCAGTACTTCACAAGAATCACAAAAATCATGGTGCAAGGGTACTTCAAGAATATTTGACAGTGGAAGCAAATACTCAATTTCGTATGTGTAAAACTCCATCACTTTTGAAAAAGTACAAAGATTATTCTAATAAAGAGGAGAAAGACAAAATCTGTGATATGGAGGTAGATTCGTAGCTTCAATAGAGTTGATTGTAGAGGGATATATGTTGGGAGAAGACAGAGAGATGCAGCCATATTTTGGAAGAAGAGGTTGCGGCTATGGAGAAAAGAAAGAGACCGGCGAGAAAGTGGGCTTTAATTTTCGGAAACCATCTTTCCTCGCTTTTGAAATACCGATTTCGTTTTTTAAAAAACAGTTCACGCGTTTCTAATATTTGGAAGCTGAGCCGTTTCCTACCGAACGTGTTTTGTTTTTTATTTTAAAAGAAAAAACAGAAACGGTGAAACAGCAGTGATGCCGAACAGACGATAAAGTTTCAGTGTCACCTCCACAGCATCTGAAAAAACAGCTACAGCATCTACTGTTTCCACTATAGCCGAATGGTCAGCTAGAGAGTCTTGTAACGGCCAGTCAAGACTATAACCACCACTATTGAATGCTAATGACATAAACGAAGGGCAGTCAGGTGCACTGCATATTGGCGCCGCGTAAGACGAGGATCCAAGGTCTGGTTCCAGCATAGGTTGTATAGGAGTAAGCCTACCCTTATCCTTTTATAAGGCATGATCATTGCCTAAACACTTGAATTCATTACCTCTTTGTTATGATCAATGCCTTAACCGCAGCACAAGGTATCCACCTCACAGGCTATGGCCACCCCTATTGCCACTACTGACATCACTGCTACATATAAATTATAAACATCACTTCTTCGCTATATGAAACGCAGCTTAACCAACAAATACACATGGCTGTATAAAGGTGAAGAATGAATGAAAATTTTCTTACTTTTCAGAAATTGAAAATGAGACAAAAGGAAGACATAAACTCAAACTGAACTAGTTGCATAGAGCCATAGACCATTTGCAAAATCAATCACAGGATAGAAAGAAAAATAATTTCGATTGATAAAAAGACTGTCAATAAGACGCATCAAAACAAAGCAACGTAATGGAAGTTCATTATATATAATCAAAAATTGCAATATCGATAACCCTACAAAGCAGATGTAGCCGAAACGTTCACATGGGAAATAAAGAAACGATACAGATCAGGTCAAGATGCAGACAATAAGAGGGGATAGATATAATTCTACTTGGATCTCTGCCTCATCTTTCGGCGCTTCCTCTTCAGCCTCCTCATCCGCTTCTTCTTCCACTGAATAATTCAACATATAAGAAAGCAAAAACTCAGGAATACATTACGATTGTGAGTAGAACAGCAAACGCGAGAGTAGAGAATTGTTTGGATACCTTCGCTCTCATGTTGAGGAGTTTGCTAGCTTTTTCAAGATAAATTTGTCTCACAGCGGCCGATGCAGAAAATTTTAAACAGCGAATCGAAGCGTAAGTATATAGCGTTTATAAAGGAAGATGGAAACTACTGTCGATGGGCTGGGCTTGTTTATAGATAGTCATAGACTCGGATCGGATCGGGTCCGGGTCGGGCCTAGGCCTGGTAGGTCTGGGACCCGCCCGGGTTACCAGCGGGTCCGGGCCGGGTCCATGTTTTTTTTTCTTTTCTTATAAACCCCTGACCCCCCGACCCCCCAACCCCCAACCCCCAAACCCTCCCAAAACACCCCACCCAACTCAGGAAAAAGCCCAAAAGAATGAAAAAACAAAAAAAAGGCTCGGGCCCGTCCGAGCCGGTTCCAAAGAAGGGGTGAACCGGGACCGTCCCAGCCTAACCCCCGGGACCGGGCCTAGGCCCGGAACCAAAACCGGTTCACCGAGCCGGGCTCGCATAGTAGCGGGCGGGGCCGGTTCCCGGGTCGGGCGGCCTGAACCGGGTCCAAGACTATATATAGATACTCCCAAATTGAATACGATTCACTAATTTTTTTTTAGAGAAAACTCAAGGAATTAATCATTAATGACATCATTGTTCAGTACCAGATTAAACTAGATCAAATTAGGCCAAAACAAACAAAAATAAACCAAACCAGATTTAAGCAAATCAGACCAGAGTAGAGCAGGTCAGACCAAACTTGAATAATTATAAAATACACAGAAATAAGACATTTACCAAACCAGACCAAATCAGATCAGACTTAAACAGACCAAACCAAATCAGATCAGACTTAAATCATTCTTATTTATAGTTAAATTAATTTTAATAGTTTTCATATTAAGAATATAAATTAAAACTTTTATAATTACCAAAATCCAAATTAGAATATATAAAGTAATAAAGTTTCGATATGCTAAATAAGTAAATAAAATGAATTTGTGTTGAAAAAAGTCGACATAAATCATTTTGCGACATGTGGAGTATTTATTATGAAGATTTTTGGTCTAGTTTCAGTCAGAGTCACTACTCAAGGGGTGTTTGGAACTGATTCTGCTTCTGCTTCTTTTTTAAAGCAGATGCAGAATCAGAATCAGTTTTCAGAAGCTGGTACCCCCAACTTCTAAAAAAACTGATTCTGGGAGTAAATTAGAGCACCAGAAGTGCTTCTGGAATTTCATCCAAACATTTCAGCTTCTGCTTCTGCTCCTTGAAAGAGCAGAATCAGTTTTGAGAATCAGAATCAGTTTTCAAAATATATAAAGTAATAAAGTTTCGATATGCTAAATAAGTAAATAAAATGAATTTGTGTTGAAAAAAGTCAAATCATTTTGTGACAGGTGGAGTATTTATTATGAAGAATTTTGGTCTAGTTTCAGTCAGAGTCACTACTCAATCACTACTTTACAGACTCGTAAGTTGAAGAAGTTATATTAAGAAACAATATTATGTTGAATAAGATAAATGCATTTTTATTTAAAATCTAGTTTGAAACAATACTGTACAGTATTTTGATCTCAAACATTTTCAAAAAAATAACATTTTTTTTTCTCGTGTAATAGGTTGAACCAATGTAGCGATGTGAATGTTTTACATTCTCTTGTTGTGAGATAACCAAATTTGTCTATCGAGTTATATGAGCAATGAAAGAATCCATTTGTAAACGACTATCGCCTCCTTCCATCACCGAAAGCTTGACCGCGCGGCTCAGTTCTCGAGCCCTTTCCCTCATCTTCTCTCCGTCAATCGAACGCACCAATTTCCCAACGGCTTCTGCGATTCTGTGAGAGCTAATCACCACTTCTGGGTTGGCACAGTCGTCTACCTCCACGCCAATCTCAAGCAATTTGGTAACCAGCGTCGCGTTCCTGGGCTGGTCGGAGTGCACCGGCCAGGCGGCGATGGGCACCCCCATGGAAACGGCTTCCACACACGAATTCCACCCGCAGTGGCTCATGAACCCGCCGGTGGATCTGTGGGAGAGAATCTCCAGCTGCGGCGCCCAATCCCTCACCACCATTCCTTTCCCCTCAATCCCTTCCTCGTATCCTTCCGGCAGTTCGACTCTGTTTTCGTCTCCGGCGAAGACGTCTCCTTTGTCGGCCTCTCTAAGAGCCCAGATGAATTTCTGCTCGCTTTGGGCCAATCCGAACGCGATCTGATCGGTCTGTTCCTTTGAGAATGAAACGGTTGACCCGAATGAAATGAAAATTACAGAGTTTTCCTCTTGCGTGTCAAGCCACGCCAGGCATTTGTGTCTCTCTTTCGTCTCTGCAAAAGATTGGCTTGGTTGATCTAAAAAAAAATGTACACTGAAATATATAAAATGAAATAGTGAAATTATACATAGTACAATGAAAAATTCTATTGCCAAGAAATATATAAAATGTACACAAAAAAGTAGATGACTATATACATGCGGCTCCAAAAAGTACTCCGTAATGCTGTTAAGACCCGGGGTTCCATCCTAAAAGGTCAACCTGATAGGAGGAGTAATCCAAAGTCTTATATAGTGTTTTATTGTTCTAAAGCTTTCCGGTGTGGGATAAATACTTCAACACGCCCCCTCAGCCCGAACCGGGCTGAACAATATCGGGGTGTATAAATGGGCCAAACAGACCCTTAACAAGCTACCCTTAATCATGGGTGCTAAACAAGTTTTCAAACCACAACCGAACCTGGCTCTGATACCATGTTAAGACCCGGGGTTCCATCCTAAAAGGTCAACCTGATAGGAGGAGTAATCCAAAGTCTTATATAGTGTTTTATTGTTCTAAAGCTTTCCGGTGTGGGATAAATACTTCAACAAATGCAGCAGGAATATGTCAAATGTGTACACTCTTTGTGTACAACAGGAATGATTGTTACACAATTATTACTTCCCTCTCTCTCCAATAAGGATGTTTTTGAAATTTGCCGGTCTGGTTTGTTTAAATCTGTTCTGGTCTAATCTTATTTGTGTATTTTATAACTATGAAGTCTAGTCTGATCTGGTTTGTTTAAATCTAGTCAGGAACTGAAAATACTCCAGGTAAAAACATCCTAACTAGTGCTGGACTCGGGCCGGGCGGCCCGGCCCGGGCGGCCCGGCCCGGAACCGGCCCGGCCCGGTTACTGTTTGGCCCGGCCCGGCCCGGGGCCCGGTGGGTCCACCGGTTCGGTTCGGCCCGGCCCGGCTGCTGGGCGGTTCGGGCTCGGGCCCTTTTTTTGGTGAACCGGCCCGGCCGGTTTTTAATTTTTTTTTTTTTTTGAATTTTTTTTAAGTTTTGGGTTGGATTAGGTATTTTGGGCCATTTGAGGTGGTTTGGGGTTGAGAGGGAGGGGTTGGGGGTTAAATAGAAGAGCCAAAAAAAAAATATAACCGGTTAGGCCCGGCCCGGCCCGGTTTGGCCCGGAACCGAAACCGGAACCGCCCACCGACGGTTCGGGCTCGGGCCCAACTTTCCTGGCCCGAGGCCCGGCCGGGCCCAGGCCCGAACCGGGCCCGAACCGGCCCGAGTCCAGCACTAATCCTAACTCTCAACACCTTCGCTTTTCATCCTTCTAAAATTGTCCTACTTATTTTAAATGAATAATTGTGCTGTCAACATTTTTTTACGTGTCTATAAATAAACCACCATACCACAATTTAATGTGTTTAGCAATGACGTAAATTCAGCAAACGGAAGGATTAACCAATTAATATCAGAGTATTTGCAATCGGTTACCACAGACTTTTGTGTTTTTTCTTAAGAAACGACTCCCTCTAAATTTTAAAGATTGCTAGTGTAAAAAAGTAAGGATAATGAATAGTGTAAAAAAACGGGATGAGAGTGGAAAAGTATGAAGGAGAAGATAAAAAGATACAAAAATAAGGGTAACCAAGTAGTTTTTAAAGGGAAAATGAAAAGTGTAGCAAACTTTTAAATACATTTTAAAAAGTATAGTAAAATTTAAAATAGGGGGAGCATGAGATATGATTTCTCGCGCAACTTGAAGCACTTTCAAAAATGACTTTTAATCTTAAAGAGTATTACGGAGTATATTTCAAAAGAGCCATGTGTCTTCGCATTAGCTCATATTTGCTTGCTTGAAATCCCGACTAAATTTTTAATGCTTAAATTCATACGGAGTATGTAATGTGTCCCATATTTAGACATTTGGAGTATATTGCGCGACAAATATGAGTCATATACTAAGGAGAAAACTATAACTCGCATATACGCCGTTCTATTATGGACGAAAAGCCGATTAAGCCTCTCTACTATAAGAATTAAGATCTTAGTAGTGTGATCCTAATTCTTACGACAAGAGGTGTTTGCCACTAGATTTAAGTAGCACTAAAAATATGCAAGATCCGAAGAAACTATTTGATCATGTTAGAATGTAGGAGTTTAATTTACCAAAGCTAAAATACGTAGTAAGAAATGATAATTTATACCACAACTTTCAATAGGATTAAATGGTCCAACGGCCCATTGCTTCCCCATCAGTGGAACTTTAGCGAGCAAGTCAAGAAACGTTCCTTCAATCACCCTGCAACTATTGAAAATGGTTCCGGAATTGAACTTCTCAGCTTCAATATGGAGCTTGTCAAGTTCATCAAATTCCTCACTACTAAATGCCTCAATATCGGGAAGATGTTTGAGTATTTCTGCTTCAGGAGGCAATGGTGAATTCTGCATCATCTCCCGGTTGAAGGAGTACGTGGCGAAAGCAGAAGTGCTTCGGAAGGCATAAGACTCTGCCTTCGGAATGCTCGGGATATCCTGAACATTCCAAGACATCCAATAATCATAAATCACGACAACCCTCCTTGTTTTCTTGGAGAGTTCTTCCAAGAAATCACGGAGGGGTTCGCGGAGGAGTAAGGCCGCACGGAATGACGGCAGTAGCTGCACCGGTGGCCGAAACGTGGGATCAGGGTCCGGGGAGTCGAATGAAGGTGTGGGGAATTCATGGAAATGGAGTTTGGGAACATAGTTGGGGTCCCATCCCTGGACTCTAAGCTTGGCCTGGCGGATGTGGGTGGCGGCTCCGGTGTAATACACGGGGATGTCATAGGAGGCGACAAGGCGGGAGAGGTGGAGGAGGAGGTTGAGATTGCCCTGTGCCGGAAGCGGGACCATGACTACGGCCACCTGATCAGCCATGCATCCGTTTTGGGGAATATTGCCTTCCATCTTTTGGTGTGAATGCCTTTGCTTGGGTGCTACGGAGTATTTGTATTTATAGACCATATCTTGAGTAAGATTTGATGTGGAAAAGTTGCATTTTGGTCGGACGACTATATAGAGACAGGAGTTTTGGTATTAGACTACACTAACAAATGAAATAACTTATTGGGGTTTTGCTCGATAACGAGGGCTGAATTGAGAACCGTTGGGTAAGGATTACAATTTGCTTGGGAGTTTGGATACCGCCAGGTACGAGTGCAACCGGACTCACAGGCAGCGATTCAACTTTTAATGGCGAAAGGTGATAGTACACACCAACACTATTCTGAGGTTGCACAATTTCGGGAGCTGTTAAATCGTAATTGGACCGTCAAAGTTGAGCATATTTACCGTGAGGGAAACCGAGCTGCAATTTTTTAGCTAGCCTATGTCATAGATTACCTATGACATAGAGACCCGTAAGTTGAAGAAGTTATATTAAGAAACAATATTATGTTGAAGAAGATAAATGCATTTTTATTTAAAATCTAGTTTGAAACAATACTGTACAGTATTTTGATCTCAAACATTTTCAAAAAAATAACATTTTTTTTTCTCGTGTAATAGGTTGAACCAATGTAGCGATGTGAATGTTTTACATTCTCTTGTTGTGAGATAACCAAATTTGTCTATCGAGTTATATGAGCAATGAAAGAATCCATTTGTAAACGACTATCGCCTCCTTCCATCACCGAAAGCTTGACCGCGCGGCTCAGTTCTCGAGCCCTTTCCCTCATCTTCTCTCCGTCAATCGAACGCACCAATTTCCCAACGGCTTCTGCGATTCTGTGAGAGCTAATCACCACTTCTGGGTTGGCACAGTCGTCCACCTCCACGCCAATCTCAAGCAATTTGGTAACCAGCGTCGCGTTCCTGGGCTGGTCGGAGTGCACCGGCCAGGCGGCGATGGGCACCCCCATGGAAATGGCTTCCACACACGAATTCCACCCGCAGTGGCTCATGAACCCGCCGGTGGATCTGTGGGCGAGAATCTCCAGCTGCGGCGCCCAATCCCTCACCACCATTCCTTTTCCCTCAATCCGTTCCTCGTATCCTTCCGGCAGTTCGACTCTGTTTTCGTCTCCGGCGAAGACGTCTCCTTTGTCGGCCTCTCTAAGAGCCCAGATGAATTTCTGCTCGCTTTGGGCCAATCCGAACGCGATCTGATCGGTCTGTTCCTTTGAGAATGAAACGGTTGACCCGAATGAAATGAAAATTACAGAGTTTTCCTCTTGCGTGTCAAGCCACGCCAGGCATTTGTGTCTCTCTTTCGTCTCTGTAGAAGATTGGGTTCGTTGATCTCATTTCTTAAATAAGTGTAAGGATCAACATTTCACATTTGTCGAGACACAACTTTGATCATTAATATATATAACTCTCTATTAGTAAAATAATTAAAAAAGTCAGATTTTAAAAATTTACAATGAGACAAATGTAGTAATATTTTTTTCAAAAATATATATTAATACATCAATAAATAAAATGTAGTCAAAGTACAACATGTGAATAGTGTAAAATTTGCAATGTTGCACTTATTTAAGAACGGGGTAGTACAATGAAAAATCCTATTGCCAAGAAATATATAAAATGTACACAAAAAAGTAGATGACTATATACATGTGGCTCATTTAGAAAAAAGTACTCCGTAATACAGTAATCGTTTATATATGCAAGAAAATATGTCAAATGTGTACACTAGGGTTGTAAATGAATCAAATAATTTGTGCTTGATTCGCGATTCGAATTCGTATAAGATGATTCGAATTCGGAAAATTCAAATAGAAATAAGAATATTAAATTTATTTCGAGTTGTTATGAAATACAAATAAGAATATCAGTGTATTCGATTTGAATATTAATCAAATATATTTGATTAATAATAATGGTAATATTAATATCAATATTGATGATAATAATAATAACAACACTATAATAACTTTTAAAAGATAGCAATACCCTCAAAGTGTAGCTCATATATACATTAGGATATACGTTTTAGCATACAGATTCCAAGCCCATTTGTAATAAACCAAAAAATAAATATGAATACAAATCAATTTTTTGGTTCAAAAGTCTTTCAATACAATACAAATAATTATGTATTTGATTCGAAGTATAAAACTAGAGTTGTTTGACTTCGATATATACAATTATCAACTTATTCCACAGATTATAAGTATAATTTCTAATATGTGTGTGTGTTAGTGTTTATTTCAAAAAGTTTGAAATAGATTTATATTTATTAATCATAAAATTAATTCACTTTAGTATATTGTTCACCATCTAAAAAACATTGATCCATTAAATTTAAATTCTAAAAACACATATTAAGTCATAGTATGCATTTACAGTATAAGAAAAGTTATTTTAAAGTGATATTTGACTAATACTCAACCTATGCTCAAATCGATTCGATATTCGTACATGATTCGTTAACTATTCGTATTGTTAAACAAATGCAAATACAAATCGAAATTAATATTCGTTTCATATTTGAATTCGAATTCGTATGCGAAAAAAGTAAACAAATACAAATATGAAATCTCATTATTCGACTCGATTCGATTCGTTTACAACCCTAGTGTACACTCTTTGTGTACAAGAGGAAGGGTTGTTATACAATTATTACTTCCCTCCCTCCCCAATAAGGATGTTTTACTTGGATTGAAATTTGTCGGTCTGGTTTATTTAAGTCTGATTTGGTCTAATCTTATTTGTGTATTTTATAACTATGAAGTCTAATCTGATCTGGTTTATTTAAATCTAGTCAGGAACTGAAAATACTCCAACTAAAAACATTTTAACTCTCAACACCTTCCCTTTTCATCCTTCTAAAATTGTCCTATTTTTTTAAATGAATAATTGTGCTGTCAACATTTTTTCACGTGTCTATAAATAAACCACCATACCACAATTTAATGTGTTTAGCAATGACGTAATTCAACAAACCCTTTTGTGTTTTTTCTTAACCAGCTACCAGCTAAGAAACGGCTCCCTCTAAATTTTAAAGATTGCTATATTAGGCGGTACATTATTCAAAGAGAAAATAGTAAGGATAATGAATAGTGTAGAAGAACGGAATGAGAGTGGAAAAGTATGAAGAAGATAAAAAGATACAAAAATAAGGATAACTAAGTAGTTTTTAAAGGGAAAATGAAAAGTGTAACAAACTTTTAAATACATTCTTAAAAGTATAGTAAACTTTAAAATACAGGGAGCATGAGATATGATTTCTCGCGCAACTTGAAGCACTTTCAAAAATCACTTTTAATCTTACAGAGTATTACTCTGTATATCTCAAAAGAGCCATGTGTCTTCGCATTAGCTCATATTTGCACTTGATAGTTCTTTCTTCCTAGCTTGAAATCCCGACTAAATTTTTAATGCTTAAAATCATATGTAATGTGTCCCATATTTAGACATTTGGAGTATATTGTCATATACTAAGGAGAAAACTATAACTCGCATATACGCCGTTCTATTATGTATGAAAAGCCGATTAAGCCTCTCTACTATACGAATTAAGATCTTAGTAGTGTGATCCTAATTCTTAAGACAAGAGGTGTTTGCCACTAGATTTAAGTAGCACTAAAAATATGCAAGATCCACAACTAAAATACGTATAGTAAGAAATGTTAGAATGTAGGAGTTTAATTTACCAAAGCTAAAATACGTAGTAAGAAATGATAATTTATACCACAACTTTCAATAGGATTAAATGGTCCAACGGCCCATTGCTTCCCCATCAGTGGAACTTTAGCGAGCAAGTCAAGAAACGTTCCTTCAATCACCCTGCAACTATTGAAAATGGTTCCGGAATTGAACTTCTTAGCTTCAATATGCAGCTTGTCAAGTTCATCAAGTTCCTCACTACTAAATGCCTCAACAGCGGGAAGATGTTTGAGTATTTCTGCTTCAGGAGGCAATGGTGAATTCTGCATCATCTCCCGGTTGAACGAGTACGTGGCGAAAGCAGAAGTGCTTCGGAAGGCATAAGACTCTGCCTTCGGAATGCTCGGGATATCCTGAACATTCCAAGACATCCAATAATCATAAATCACGACGACCCTCCTTGTTTTCTTGGAGAGTTCTTCCAAGAAATCATGGAGGGGTTCGCGGAGGAGTAAGGCCGCACGGAATGACGGCAGTAGCTGCACCGGTGATCGAAACGTGGGATCAGGGTCCGGGGACTCGAATGAAGGTGTGTGGAATTCATGGAAATGGAGTTTGGGAAGAGAGTTGGGGTCCCATCCCTGAACTCTAAGCTTGGCCTGGCGGATGTGGGTGGCGGCTCCGGTGTAATACACGGAGATGTCGTAGGAGGCGACAAGGCGGGAGAGGTGGAGGAGGAGGTTGAGATTGCCCTGTGCCGGAAGCGGGACCATGACTACGGCCACCTGATCAGCCATGCATCCGTTTTGGGGAATATTGCCTTCCATCTTTTGGTGTGAATGCCTTTGCTTGGGTGCTACGGAGTATTTGTATTTATAGACCATATCTTGAGTAAGATTTGATGTGGAAAAGTTGCATTTTGGTCGGACGACTATATAGAGACAGGAGTTTTGGTATTAGACTACACTAACAAATGAAATAACTTGGGGTTTTGCTCGATAATGAGGGCTGAATTGAGAAACGTTAGGTAAGGATTACAATTTGCTTGGGAGTTTGGATACCGCCAGGTACGAGTGCAACCGGACTCGCAGACAGCGATTCAACTTTTAATGGCGAAAGGTGATAGTACACACCAACACTATTCTGAGGTTGCACAATTTCGGGAGCTGTTAAATCGTAATTGGACCGTCAAAGTTGAGCATATTTACCGTGAGGGAAACCGAGCTGCAAATTTTTTAGCTAGCCTATGCCATAGATTACCTATTGGTGTTCATTCTATTTTTAATGTTCTTCTTATGTTATCTTTACACATTTTGTATGACTTACTTGGGGTCTCTCAACCTCATTTTGATCAGTAATGAAAAATAGGAGCTTTGCTCCCTAGGTCTTACCAAAAAATGAAAAAATAAAATAATCATTAAAAAAAATCATACTTCGTATTGTAAATTTTGATTCCCATGTGAAATAATAAAATAAGAAAACATGTAATTAAAATTTGTGTAAATGAAAAAAGAAACAACATTAATCGCCAAATTTTTACATTAAAAGATGTTGTTAAGACTGTTAAATGAAGAAAGTTGAAAATTTTGATTGGAATTTAGTTGTATAAATAAATTCCCCAATTTAACACGTTCACCTTGATGTGCAACCACCATTAGAGGCACTGAAGGGATTCAATCACCCTTTTTACTAAAGAATAACCTTTTTAAC